ATCAGAGCTCTCTGTCTGTCTCCACTGTGCATGGATCAACTGGAAGGTGGCCATCTGCGAGCACGAGAGCGAGATCTTACCAGAACCCAACCATCCTGGCACCCGAATCTCTGACCTCCAGCCTCCAGAACTTGGGGGGAAAATTTCGTTGTTTAAGCCACCCATCTGTGGTATTTTGTTACGGCAGCCTGAGTAACTAAGACACCTACCCGGCGAAATAGGAAAGTAGTTTTCACAAAATGCTTTTAAGATGAACAGGGTCATATTGTTTTTTTCCCAGATAACCAAGATAATAGCAAACATGTAAGTTAGGCAACATGAAACAAAACATAGGCGAGAACCAAGAACTAGGAGAAAGGAATACAGGAGGAATACTGGAACATTTCTACTTTTCTGTCAATATTCTTAAAATGCAAAATTCAATTAATGATAAGGGTGCCTAGCTGGTCCAGTCACAGAGGGAGAGGGAGAGAATCTGAAGCAGGCTCCATGCACAGCACAGAAAACTTGAATATCCCAGACTTTGGCCCTGGCCTGGCTGTAATGAGCTGCCCCAAACCCACCCCTGCTGGGAGGGTATCACAGAAGACCACATGGGGTGCTGGCCTTTCAGCCCTGCTGTGCAACACCTGAGTGTCGAAATGAGACCAGAGGGCCGCTGGAATGTCCTCCTCTGCTCAGCAGTAACTGGGACCCCTACCCTGCAATGTCAGTGGGACCCAAACTTCTCCCTCCACCAGGCACTAATGAGGTGGCACCAGCCCTTTCTCTGCCAGAGAAGTGTTGGAGACAGCCAGTCTGGGCTGCTTTCCATCACCAACAACCAATTTTCCTATGGTCTGGACACCAGCTATCCAACAATTCAATTTGGTTTTGACACTAACTACCTGGAATTAACCCCAGATTCCACAGGATAAGGGCCCAACCCCCAACACTGTTCCCACTTACAATGCCAGGTGCAAGTCTTAGGCCACCTGTACTTCTAACCAACCAGCTATACATCAGAGGTTCCCCCAATTCCCTCCCCAGGTTTGATGACTTGCTAGAATGGCTCCCAGCTTTCAGGAACCACTTAGGTTTCCCAGTTTTCTATAAAGGACGCAACTCAGGAACAGCCAGATGGAAGAGATGCACAGGGAAAGGTTTAGGAAGGGGATGGGGTTTTAATACCCTCTCTGGGAGCACCACCCTTCCAGCAAATTGATGTGTTCACCAATCCAGAAGCTCTTTGAATATCATTGTTCAAGAGATTTATAGAAGGGCGCCTGGGTGGCTCAGTCAGTTGAGCATCCGACTCTTGATTTCAGCTCGGGTCATGATCTCAGGGTTGTGAGATCAAGCCCCACATTGGGCTCCATGCTGAGCATGAGTCTGCTTGGGATTCTCTCTCTCTCCTCTCTGCCCCTCCCCCAGTGCTCTCTTTCTCTCTCAAATAAATAAATAAAAGCTTTCTTTATAAAAAAGAGTTTTTATAGAGCTCAATCTCTAAAGCCCTCTCCTCCCTGAAGGTCAGGGGTAGAGATGGAAGTTCCAACTCTCTAGGCACTTGGTCTTCCTGGTCATCCTGAGGCCACTATGGGTCCCATCCTAAGTCACCTCATTGGCATAAACTAAGGTGTACTCTAAAGGAACTCTTTAGGAGTAACAGAAAACATTTTCATCACTTCCCAAAGAGCTTGGAAATTGTAGGAGTTCTGTGCCAGGTACCTGGGACAAAAACCAAATATATTTCTTATTATATCAGAGCCAGCTAAAACGGAAACCTTAAATAAGAACCAGAGTCTCATAACATGTTATGAAAATGTCCACATTTGAGTAAAAAGTCACTTGTCATAACCAAGAACCAGCAACATCCTAGTAATGTCAGTGGGGAAAAAAAAGCAATAGGCACCAAAACTGAGATGACAAAGTTGTTGAAATTATCTGATAAATGTTTTAAAGCTATGATGAAAATGTTTCAGTGCTCCAAAAAAAATTACAAAAACATGTGAGACAAGTAGAATGCTCCCACAAAGCAATCGAAAGTCCTAGCAAGAGAGCCGAGATATAAAGAATAACCAAATGGAAATTTTAGGACCGAACAATACAGTAACCAAGAATAAAAGCTCAACTGCAGAATGGAGGGGACAGAGAAAAGAATCAGTGAACGTGAAGATAGGACAAAAGAACTCAGCCCATCTGTAAAAACATAGAGAGAATAGAGTGAAAAAATGTGAATGGGGACCTGTGGAGGGGGACTATTACACAAGATGTGACATTAGCATCAGTAGGAGTCCTGGAAAGAGAGAAGAAAATCAGTAGGGCTGAAAGAATACTCAAAGAAACCGTGACTTCGAATGAAGGAGGTTCTCACACACGCTACAACATGGATGAGCTTTGAAGACGTTCTGTGAGTGAAGCAAGCCAGTGACAAAAAAAGGCAAATACAGTATGATTCCATTTATATGAGGGTATCTAGAACAAATTCAAAGAAACAGAAAGTAGAATGGTGGTTACCAGGGGCTGGGAGAAGAGGAGATAGGGAGTTGTTTTTTTAATGGGCACAGAGTTTCCATTTTGCAAGATGAAAGGCTCGTACAGATGGTTAGCATTAACGCTTGCACAACGATATGCATATAACTAACAATACTGAACTGTACACTTAAAATGATATATTTTATGTCTTATGTGTTGTGCTACCACTTACAATGTTCTAAAAATTTAGAACTTGCTCTCTGAAAGGCTTTGGCGAGAGGATGCTTCAAAGTTAAGCTGCCAGGTGGGAGAAAATATTTGTAAACCACATATCCGACAAAGGACTTGTCTGCAGAATACATACAGAACCCTCATAATTCAAAATAAACAGTCCTATCAGAAAATGGGCAAAAGACATGGGCAGTTATTCCACCCAAGAAGATACAGATGGCAAATGAAACCATTTGCACTTCTGGGCATTTATCCCAGAATAATGAAGACTATGATCACACAGAAATCTGTACATGAATGTTTATAGCAGCTTTATATGAAATAGCCCCAAACTGGGAAGGATCTAAATGGCCTTCAGTGGGTGAATGGCTGTACGGATTGTGGAGCATCTATGCCACGGAATATTACTCACCAGTAAAAAGTAACAAACTATTGACATTTGCAACTCTATTCATGAATTACCAGAGGGGGAAAAAACCAATCTTAAAAGGTTACATAGAAGTTACTACATTGTTAAAATCACAAAAGTAACAAATATAAGACAGACTGTTGGTTGCCATGGTTGAAGAGTGTTAAGATGGGAAGGAAGTGATGCTGACCATAAAAAAAAGGGGGGGGTGTTACATGAGGGATCCCTGTGATGGAAATGGTTTGTGGCTTGACTATATCAATGTCAATATCCTGGTTGTTATTGCACTATCATTTTGTCAGATACTACCATTGGGGGAAATTGGGTAAATGGTGACTGGGCTCTTTCTATAGTATTTCTTTCAACTGCATTGTGAATCAACAAATGATCTCAAAAGAAAAAACTTAATTGAAAAAGTTACCATATAATAAAATACAACAGAGCTGTTAAAAACAAAATGTAGTACATTAGATTTGATCTTTAGAAACAACCCACCCATAAAATACACGTAACTGATAGATGCGAGGACTTCGGGACTGAGTTCACCCGGCAGGGTTCAGTCTGGGCAAAGGGCCATGGATCATACCACATGACATTCGGAAGGGTGAGTCCAAAACGGGGCTGTGAGAAGGCACTAGCCACAGTGCCCGGAGCCCAAGAGGCAGAACTCCCCTAGGAGAGCTGTGCTTGGGAAACCCGGCCAGCCAGCAGCAAGGACCGGGGGAAGCTGAGCTTCTGGAGGAGACATTGTCTCTGTGCATGCATCCCTAGTGAATGTCTCTCAGTACATGCGAGCTGAAGCTGGGCTGACTGCAAAATATGATCTAAACAGGCTGAGACAAGGACATGTCATCCCAGCATCCAGCCCAGAGGTTACCAAAGAAATGCAGCCTCAGACAAGACGAGTTGCTCAGAGGCTCACCTGGGTCCCCATGCACAGAGCCAGGCTCGATGTGGACATGGCCAGCTGAGGCTGGGGAGCATGTGATGGAGAGGAAAGAGTGGGCTCAGATGCAAACCTTGAGGGCTAAGACCAGAGGTGTGTTCACCACGTGTGTGAACAAGCATCATCAGAGCTACAGGACTGTGGAGGGACTCTCAGCAGAGGGCTCAGAGATAGTCCCTGGGCACAGCGGGCGTGTCCCAGAAGGGAGTCCTGGCAGGCGCGGGGGGGGGGGCGGTGCTGGATGTAGGTGGGGTTCAGAGGGTTCAGGATCCTTCTGCAGCTTCTACAGCCTTCCCATACAGGAGTCCACCCTTGCCTCCCTCCAGGCAGCCTGACTGTTCCCTCGCCAGGCTCCTTTCTGCCTCCGACTGAGAAGGGGCTGCTACGGCCAATCCTGGAGGCCACACCAGGGCCTGGGAGGTGACCACGGGACCAGGCTGATGGTTTTCTTTTTTTTTTTTTAAGATTTTATTTATTTATTTGAGAGGGAGAGAATGAGAGCACGAGAGGGAAGAGGGTCAGAGGGAGAAGCAGACTCCCTGCCGAGCAGGAAGCCCGATGTGGGACTCGATCCCGGGACTCCAGGATCATGACCTGAGCCGGAGGCAGTCGCTTAACCAACTGAGCCACCCAGGCGCCCAGGCTGATGGTTTTCAATCTGTGCACCTCCGAGCATCCAGGAGCCCCAGGAGCGTGCCTTGGAGGCCAGCTGGTGGGGCAAGGCTGGGGACCAACTGTCCCCGTTTGTGCAGGACCGTAAGCTGGATGAGCTGGTCACTGCAGGTGAGGCTGCCCTGGCCACTCTGGCTCCTCCACTCCGTGAACCGGGAGGCCTCACTGGCAGCCATTACACAGGGAAGGGCAGTTCTGCTGCCTGGTACCCCACCCCCAAACTCCAGGTGAGGTGTCAGGACCCTCACCTCCTTCCCCAAACAAGACAAACCAAAGAAACAGATGACACCTCGTCCGTTTCTGCTTTTTGTTGGCGTGTGTGTGCATATACAGTAAGTCCTAGGGGGAGAATAGGGGGGAAGCCCAGCAGGTCGACCACTCCCCGCCCCCCCCCCCACATCCTCTCTTCCAGGCCAAGTGCTCAGCGCACCTGGGCCAAGTTATGTTTCTTGTACAGCAGCGCCCGCCTCTTCTCTCGCTCGCGCACGAAGGCGCGCAGTCGCGCTGTGGGGAAGGTCACGGCCGCGGGCTGGGAGCCAGCAGGGCCCTCCTCCGTTAGCCACGGGCACTGCAAGCAGCTGGACGCGCACGGCCGGCCCCTGGAGAGAGGGCAAAGTTGTCAGCTGAGCTCTCGGAGCTGGGGCCGGGTTGGAGAGGGAGGCGGGAGGGAAGTGGGCCAGGCGGGGTTGGTGGAGGGGGTTGGACCCGGCCGGCCCGGTGGTGGATGCGGCGGGACCGCCTTACCATGGGTGAGCGCACAAAGTGCTCCGAAGAAAAGCCACGGCGCCGCCGGACAGCCCCGCGTAGCAGTGACTCAAACGGACTAGCCCCTTGCGCAGGCTTTTCAGCAGCTCGCGTGTCCCTTCACTGCTTACGGGGTACTCCGCGCTCAGCCTGCGCGCGTGGGGGTCAGGGGACTCAGGTCACCCTCGGGTGGATGTGCAGGGCACCGGGGGCTCTGGGGTCCCCCTCGATGGATGAGAGGCACAGGGATCTGAGGTCACCCTCGGATGGAGGACACACGGGGGCTCCCGGGGCACCCTGGATGGATCCCCAGTCTCCCGCCACTGCGCTTGGGGGACTCACATGATGAAAGCTGTCACGCCTATGGCCCAGATGTCGGTCTGCGGGACGGCACCCTGGCCCTCCAGGAGCTCGGGAGCTGGGGGAGGACACAGGGGAGCGCCCAGGCGAGAGGCTGGGTGTGTGCAGGGCAACGGGGAGGGAGGCAGGACGGGGGGCGGGGCTTCCTGCTGGCCTACCCCCCCCACCCCCCGGTCAGATTGGCATCCGCTCCCTGCGCACCCATGGTCTCCACGTAGTCCTTGAACCTCTCGGAGGGCAGGACCCTCTCCTGGGCGAGGCTCTGGGCGTTGCCCAGGTCGACGACCTTGAGTAAGTTGTACTCCGTGACGATCATGTTCTCGGACCTGAGGTCCAGATGCAGAATGCCTTGGGTGTGCAGGTACTGGGCGGCGCTCAACATCTGCCACAGGTAGTCCTTCACCTCCGACTCCGAGTAGGAAGCCCTGGGGGCGCACGGGGAGGGGGGCTCGGCTCCGTCCACGGCAGAGGGGGCGCGGGGACAGCCGCTCTTTCTGTGGGCCTGGGAGGGCCGCCTCCCGGCTCTGCTTAGCTCCCCGGCTTGGCCTGACCGGTGGGGGCGGGGCCGGGAGGTGGGCGGGGAGGTGTGACCCGGTCCGCACCTTGCGCCGCTCCTGCCCCGGCGTGTGTAGCGTCCCGCCCGCGGCCCCGCATCCAGGCCAGGCCTCACCTGTCCGCCAGGCAGGGGAGCAGCTCGGGTCCCGAGCACAGCTCCAAGATGAGGACCAGGTGCCGGGGGCTGAGGTAGGCGGCCTGTAGCTGGGCCAGGTGCGGGTGGCGCAGGCTCTTGAGGGCTTCGTATTCGCGCAGCACGGCAGCCTTGTCCTCGGGGCGGTAGGGGACGATCTTCGCGGCCAACGCGCGTCCGCTAGCCTTCTCCCGGCACTGCCGCACCACGCTGAAGCGGCCCCTGGGAGAAGCAGCGCCGGCCAGCCTTGTGAGGGCCCCCACGCGCCCTCCTTCCCAGTGTCAGAAAAAGCAAGCTCAGCGGGAGGTGACCCAAGCCTTCGGAGAGGGGGGCGCGGAGGTTCTGCACCAAACTTGTGTGGATGTGAGAAGTGAGGGGTGGCGGCGGAGGGGGCTGGGGCTGGGGTTAGAGCAGGCAAAGCCAGTGAGGCGATGGGCTGTGGCACCTTCGAATCTGCGCCTGGAAGGCGAAGGTCTGCGCGCTGGGGAGGGGCTGGGCTGGCCGCGGGGTGCGGCTTTCTTCCTCGGAGGCTGTGGGGGAAGGAGCCAGTGACTGGGAGGCACCTGTACAGCCCCAGTCCCCCCGATTTGTCTCCCATACCCCTTCCCCTTCTGTGAACCCCCACACTTTGATGTCTCCTCCCTTGGGCCATTTGGGGGCAGGGGCCTACCGGTGAGAACAAAGCATCCCAGGGAGTGCGTGAAACTGAGTGAAGTGGCAGGGCACCCCGCCACCACCACCCCGCCAGGCCTCCCAGCGCGGCTCACCCAGGTGGCTGGGCCCTCCCAGGAGGACCTCCTCTGAGGGGCTGCTGTAGGGACCCATGCCCGCCTTGCTGACACAGGCCGTCCGGAAAGTGTACAGCCCGCCCCTGGAAAGCTTGCTGGTGAGGTAGCAGCAGTCAAAGATGTCGGAAGCCAGCGTGCTCCAGCTACCACCTGGGCCACACACGAGTGGGTGAGGGACAGCCCGGGTCAGGGGGCGGAGAGACCCCCAGGTGGCTGGGTTCTTCCCAAAGCCACCCAGGGGCACTGCCCTGTAGCCCTCCTCTGCGGACACCAGGGCTGCCCAGGAGGGGAGACCATACGGAGGGCTCCTACCTTCCAGGCTGCTTTGCACAATGTACGTCACAGGGCCATAGGACTCCACGGGCTTCCAGACCAGCAGCACCCCGTCAGCATACACCTCCCCAATGGCGGGGCGTGGGGAAGAGCAGGGGCGCTCTGGGGGTCCAGGGTTGGCAGCCTGAGGGGGGCTCCCCGCGGCTTCCAATGCAGCGCAGAGCCCCAGCCAGCCCGGCCTCACCCTCCTGCACCTGCTGCCAGGTCCCTGAGCCCACCATCCCCTGGACCCGTTCAGTCAGGGTCCCCTTCCAGCACCGGCTGGTAGAGGGGCCCGGTGCCTCTTCTGGTGGGGGCCTTGGGAGGGGTCTGCTCTGCCAGGCTCCCCTCCCACAGGTGTACATCAGCAACCCGCCGCGGAGTGGCCCTCCCTGACCACCCTCTGCCAGCCACCAGCTCCCATCAGAGGGGCCTGTCCTGGCTACTCAGCTTCCCCCGGCAGCCTGGACACTTGGTGGTTGGCCACTGCTGGGAATCAAGCTAGTCCCACAGCCCCTGTTTTGCATCCTCTGCTTCCTGTCATGGGGGCCCCAGTCTGCAGAGCCAACTCAGGCCTTCTGCGGCCCCAACGTGGATGACCGGGTGGTAAGCATCCCATTCCAAAGCCTCCTCAGTGAAGGGCACCAGCACAAACCAACTCACCAAGTGACAGGTGGTCTCCCAGCCCATTAGAGTCAGTCCGCGCCCCGTCCCACTGAGGGGGCCTGGTGCGGTCCACTCACCTGCCTTCCGGAGGACAGCTGTGGTGGCCACCATCCCCAGAGGGTTGCTCACGCTGCACGTGTACACCCCCAGGTCCTCAGCAGTCGTCACCAGGATGGTCAGAAGCTGGAAGTTCTTGAGCGTGGAGGAGATGAGGAGGCGGCTGCTGCCCTCCAGGGGAGCCCCGTCTGCAGCAGGACAGAGCAGGCCTGGGGAGCAGCTCCAATGGGCACCCAGCCTTGAGACGCCCGCCCTCTTGGGGTCCGTTTCCCTCTGTACAATGACAGCAATGCCCGCAAGGGGCACCCCCTGCCTTTCTGCCCCCCCCAGCCCCAGGATTCCTCCTGACCTTTGGTCCAGGTGGCCTGTGCAGCTGGCTGGGCCAACACCTGGCAGGCAAGAGTCACGGACTGGCCCAGGACCACCGTTTCATCTGAGAGCTCCCTTAGAAATGATGGCGCTAGGGCACGGAAAGGGGGGCAGGCAAGCTTTCCAACCCCCGTGGATGTAAGCTTGCCCCCTCTGCTGGTCTGGGCACCAGGGAGGGGCTCCGTTCCCCCACAGTTGGGTCCCCTAGGCTGCAGTGTGGCTCGGCCCCTGGGCAGCGCACCCACCTTGGTCCCTGCTCTTCAGGCCCAATCGGAAGGAAGCCAGGCCTGCCTTCTTCCTGGGGGGGCTCTCTTTCTCCAGACCTGCAGGGAGGAAGAGACCTCTGGGAGACGCACGCAAGGAGCCCAGCTCCCCTGGAAGCATGGGAGGAGGAACTCGGAGCCACCCGTGGAGAGATCCCCACGTGGCAGAAGAGCCCAGATCCCAGGGGCTTTTGTCGCAAAGGAGCTATTCTGCTGCAGAGACCACCCCCTCCCCACCCCTGTCAGGATCAGTCTACCTTGCGCAAGGGCACCAGGGGCAGGTAAGACTCGGGAGCCCGTGGTGCCTGGGGAGGCCTGGCCAAGGGCCCAAGAGTCAGGGACAGGCCAGCAGGGCTGGCCTGGTTGGATGCACTCTGTATGAGTCTCCAAGCCTCCTTAGGTCCCCACGCTGGGCCCAGATGCACGTGGGGAGAGGCTGAGGCCACATGGGTGACCTCAGGAACAGGGCTGGGTGTGTGGCACTGGGAGGGGGACCCTGGAGAGAGCGGTTTCTGTATCACCCCAGCCCTTCCCCGCGTGGGAGGTGAGGTGCCCCAAGGTGCACCTGCCAGGGCGGAGGGGAGAGGGGTGGGGTGGGGGAGTCACCTCCAGGCCTGCCCCTGAGGAGGCGGGAGATGTGGGCCACCGAGGCCCTCACCCTCCGGCGCAGTCCCAGCTCCACGGGCTCCTCCAGTAGGGCGTGCCTTCCTGGGAAGTGGAAGAGGCCGCTGGAGGGGGGCGACCACTTGCGCTTCCTGCTGCAGGGAGCCTCCCTTAGCAGAGTGTCCATGTCCTCTGGCTCCTCGGTGATCTGCAAGCTGGCTGGCGGGCCCGGCGCACCCGGCCAGGGCCCCTCGGCCTCAGACTCGGGGGACGACGGTGGCTCTGGTGGCACAGGCCTGGGGACCTTCCTGAAAATCATGAACTCGAACGGGAGATACTTGATGTCATACAGGTCAGACAAGTTGAGGTAGGCAGGCTCCACCTCTGAGATGTCCAGGGACACGGTGTCGGCTGCTTCTGCGTCCCCAGACAGGTCTCGGATCTGCACCAGGGACACCTGGGAGCCCCCACCAAAGTCCTCCCACGAGCTCAGCTCTGGGGAGGCCCGTGGGGGTGCCCCACTGCCCTCGGGAAGGGGTTCTGCGCTAGCCTGGGGGGGTGGGCTCTGGGCTCCTGCATCATCATGCTCCTCGGAGGACTGAGAGGTGGCCCAAGCCAACCTGGCCCACAGGGGACCCTGCCCCAGCATGCCCCCTGCGTCCCCGCCAAAGGCAAAGGTGCCGTAGCCCACCACTCCTGCGAAGCCCCCACAGCGCGCCCCCAGTGAGAACTTGCGCCTGGTGGCCTGCTCCTGAGGGCGCTGCGGGCTGGGCTCAGACTCTGATGCGTCTTCCCGCTCCGCAGCCTGGGAGGGGCCAGGCTCCGCGCCCACTGGGGAGGCCAGCCTTGGGGAGCTGGGGGGACTCGGCCTCCCAGGGAGAGGGGTGTCCTTTGGTCCCTTCTTAGAGCCTGGCTGGGGGCTTCCTTCGGCCGGAGAGACAAAGGAGCTCAAGGGTGCCAGGAGGGACCCCGTGCACTGCTTTGCAGGGAAGGAGCCAGAAGGTTGTGTTGTAACAGCCTGAGGGGGGCCGCAGCCTTCCGGGGGAGCAGGACTCCTCTGAGGATGAAAGGAAGGCGCGGCCTGCCCCCCGCGGCTGTCCTGCGATGACCCCTCTTGCCGAGCGGACCCCGGGTCGCCACCGGTGCACGGAAATAGTCCCGGCTCCTGCCGGGATCCTTCCGGACGCTCCGTGTCCCTGGCATGGGAGAGCCCTCCCAGCCAGCTCTCCCCTGAGTCCGCCTGGAGGTCCGAGCGGGCCGGGCCAGGGCACTGCGCTCCGCCACCGGCCTCAGGCGCCGAGCTGGCGGGGGGCGGCCGGCCGAGCTCCAGGGAGCGGCCGCGGCCGGGGGCCCCGCGGGCGCTGCAGCCCAGCAGCCGCAGGGCGGCCTCCAAGCAGGGCGCTCTGGCCGTCAGCGCGGCCTCCTCCTCCCGCGCGCGGTGCTCCAGCAGCGGCTCTCGCAGGCCGGGCAGGGCGCGGGCGAAGTAGCCGCCCGTGAGCAGGTGCCGCCGGCCGCCCGCGGCGGGGCCTCCGCGCTCCGGGCCCTCGCCCGCCTGCTGGTACAAGAGACTGCGGAGGACGCTCTGCCGCGGAACGCAGCCCCGGGTGGCGGGCGCCTCCGAGCGGGGGGCCGGCGTGGGCGGAGGCGCGGTCTCTTCCGGCAGGCTGGCGGATGGCCGCAGGAAGCCCCGAGGGTGCAGCAGCGGGGAGTGGGCCACTGGGGAGGGCGGCAGCGATTTGGCCCGGGCGAGAGGCGCCCGCTCGTTGTCGGAGGACGAGGACGACGAGCTGCTGGCGTCGCTGCGCAGGTGCCGAGCCACCCCGAGGGATGGGCTGTCGGGCGGGCCCTGGAGCAGCTCGGGGATGGAGCGCATCACCAGGATGGACTTGTAGCTCATCAGGGAGCGCTGGGGGGTGCGGAGGACAGGGGCGCGTCAGCCGTGGGCCCGCGCCGCCCCGGCTCCTACTGGGCGCAGACGGGGCACCCAGGAGCTGGGAGCGTTACAAGCTCCACTCCTCAGGCCCTAGGGCTCTGTCGTTCTGCCCCTGCCCTCGCTGGAGTTGCACGCACCTCGGCCCGGACCTGTCCCGGCAGCTCGGAGAGCGCAGACCCCAACGAAGGGCCAGCGCCCAGCGAGGCTTCCTGTTCTCCCAGGCCAGGCGGGCGGGGACGCACAGCCAACCCTCGGGACCTGGCTTCTCTTCTCCCCAACTCCCGCCGCACCCTAACTCTCCCCTCGCCGCCCCACCACTGCCACACGCTGCCCAGCTCACCTGCCAACGGCTGTGAGCCAGCAGGAACTTGAGTTGCTTGGTGTTGATGAAGTGGGCCTCCTCTGCAGGCACGGACTTCTGAGGGCACCCAGGTGAGAGGGGCGGAGAGGGGAGACCCTGGTGCACCCGGTGGCCCACACAGGCCTCCGCCCCTCCTGGCCTCAGTTTCTCTCCCCGTGCAGGCTTGCTCAGGCTCACCTCGGACTCACCTGGAACCAGGGGTGGGCGAGGCACTCGGCTGCACTGGGCCGGGCACTAGGAGGAGAGGAAGGCCAGGGCTCAGGCCAGGGGTTCAGCTGCCCAGGCCCAGGCCTAAGAGAACCCTGGGCCGGGGGCAGGGCTGGGCACTCACTCTGGGGCCCTCTGCAGGGCAGCCGTGATGAAGTCCTGGGCATCCTTACTGAGGTGGGCAGCCGCAGGGCTGCTCCAGGACACCCGCCCCTCCAGTACGTTCAGGAGCGTGGCTCGGTCACTCTCACCAGCGAATGGTGACGAGCAGGTCAGGCTAAAAGCAGACACACGACTTGCCTTCAGATGTGACCTGGTTTTCTGGATCCATAGGGGGCAGGTGGCCAGGACAAGGGAGCACCCAGTCCTGCCTGGAGGTGGCCACAGTGACACTCCCATGCAGCCCTGAGAGCCCTCCAATGGTCTGAGATTAGCCCCGAGATCCAGCCTCAGCCCGGGACAGGGATCAAGGGTCAGCCTGGAGTGTGTACCCAGCCTCAGCCCAGGACGGGGATCAAGGGTCAGCCTGGCGTGTGTACCCAGCCTCAGCCCGGGACGGGGATCAAGGGTCAGCCTGGAGTGTGTACCCAGCCTCAGCCTGGGACGGGGATCAAGGGTCAGCCTGGTGTGTGTACCCAGCCTCAGCCCAGGATCCAGGTGCCGTCTACACCAGCAGCATCCTCAGGGCAGCAGGGACTGTTACGAGGGAACTTTCTGCAAACCACCCAGATCCTTTAGGGATACAGCTCACTGCTTTGCCTGGGGACCAGGCAGAGTCCCTCTGGAACAGCGGAACAGCGTACGTAAGGAAAGAGCTCAGCAGAAACCATTTCTCAGTTGGCTGACCGCTGGTTCACATAATAGCTGCCCTGTGGGGCCTGGGTCTTTGACCTGGGCAGCTGGCCAGTAGTGCTGCAGCCTCCCACGGGCCTGATGCGGGGGTGGGGGAATCTGGGGCTGGCTTCAGACGAGGTGGCTGACAGAGGCGGGGGTCTGCTCACCTGAGGTAGGAGATGACCCCCATGGCCCTGCAGGAACAAAACCACAAAGTGTGTGCTCAGGGTTGAGGCGTGGGGGGTGGGGAGGGAGCACGTGTCAGGGGCTGTGGTCTGCGAGCTCACCAGACATCGGAGGCCTCGCTCACAGGGGTCTGCTCGATGATCTCCGGGGACACAAACTCCGGGGAGCCATACTCGCTATACTGTGGCTCTCCTGGGGTGATTTTTTGGGCAAAGCCGAAGTCGCAGATTTTAATGTCTTCCAGAGCAGGATGCACCATCAGGATGTTGGGGGGCTGTTAGGGAGAGTCAGGGAGGGGTGAGGCCATGCCCTAGGGGCTGCAGGGAACCCCCGGGTCTGTGATGGGCTGTTCCAAGGCAACTGTGAAGCCAGTGTGGGACCGTGGACAGTCCTGGGGGTGCATTTTAGTGCCCTCTGGGGACAGCCTCCAATTCATCCCAGCTGCACCCCCCTGAAAGAGCCCCCCACCCCCAGAGGCAACCAAGTCCTAACAGGGAATCTAGAAGTGGTCGGCCTGTGGCTCCCCCACCAGCCAGCAGGCCCCAGGCTCCCACCTGTCCCTTCCCAGTCCTTGGGGACCCCAAGGGGGCCGAGTACCTTTATGTCCAGGTGGAGAATGCTGTGGCTGTGCAGGTAATGAAGCCCCTCCACCAGCTGCTGGACATACACCTTGACCTGCAACAAAGGCCAGGGCTCAGGTGCGAGCCATCGTCCACCTCTTCCTCCACTTCCTTCCCCGTGCCACGCCCACCTGCAGGGCCCCCACTTCCCTCAGATCTGAGCTTGGGATGGTCCCACGAGGCAGCCATGTACAAAGCCTCCCAGACCCCACGGGCCCCAAGGCCAGAGGATTCCTCCAGCCGGGCAGTGGATCGGCCTGGCCAAAGCAGGAAGCACTGTGTCTTGGGGGCAGGCGAGCATGGCCCCCTGGCCAGGCAGGGCCTGCGAGGGGGAGGCCGTGGGAGGGCTTGGAGAACTCTGCTGAGGAGCTGCCATGCGCCATGCGGCCCTGGGCAACCTCAGATGGTCTCTGAGCTGGGGAGCGCTGGGGCCCTGTGTTGGCATGGGGAGCAAGACACTGTGCAGTCACCTCAGCCTCTGTCACCACACTCTTCTTGAACAGACGGTCCAGCAAGTCCTCTGATGAGCACCTGGGGCTCAGGTCAAGAAAAGCTCTGGAGTCTGGAACCCACCCAGCCCCACACACCTTTGGCAAGTCATCTTGGGGTGGGGGCGGGAGCCACGCTGGGAAGGGTGGTGCTCAGCCGACGAGGGTGGAAGGAACAGGCACCCTGAGGACAGGGGCTGAGGTCAGTGGGCGGCAGCAGCAGAGTGGGAGGGGAGCGAGTCGTGCGTGTCTGCCCTTCGCTCGACCTTGGGTGGGCAGCCTGAGGACCCTCTCAGCGTTAGCGCTGGGGGCAGCCACATAAGTCAGACGGCCCTGCTGGTGAGGCCACGTGGAGCACGGCAGGGGCCCAGTGAAGTCATGTCCTGGACCCTGTGGACACAGCCCTGACCAAATTCCGGGCCCATGGGACCGGAGCTTCAAGGACGGTGCTGTGTCCAGGAACACCAGAACAACCGGCCTGGCGTGGCCCTCGGACCCCTGCCTGCCCAGGGCGTGCCCCTCTCCGCACTCTCTCTGGCTGAGGGCGGGATACAGCTCCAGGACAAGGATCAGGGTCTTCCGGGTCTCAAACTGGTCCAGCAGCCGGGTGACCAGCGGGTGGCTCAGCGTGGCCAGGATGTCCCGCTCGCGGTACGCGTGGGTGCACGTCCTGCTCCGCAGGGGGATGAACTTGGCTGCGCAGGACATCTGGTTTCCTTTGTGCTGCACCCTCTTCACGAAGCCAAACACGCCCCTGGGAGGACGGGAGCCACGCTGGGCGCATGCGACAGGCTCCCCGGGGTCGGGGTCCGGGTCGGGGCTGGAAGAGTCCTCCAGGGAAGCAGGCTTCTGGGGCGGTGCATGTAAAAGGCGTGGGCTCCCGGGGCAGGGACTTGGGGGGTAGGGACTTGGGGAGGCGGGGCTGAGGAGCGGGGACTCGGGGAGGGATTCAGGGAGGCGGGGCTTAGGGGCGGGTCCTCGGTGTCGGGACTCAGGGGGGCGGGGCTGAGGGGCGGGGACTCGGGGTAGGGACTCAGGGAGGCGGGGCTGAGGGGCGGGGACTCGGGGAGGGACTCAGGAAGGAGGGGCTGAGGGCGGGGACTCGGGAGGCGGGGCTGAGGGGCGGGGACTAGGGGCGGGGCAGCGGCTCCTGGGGCTGGGTTTCTGGACCATACCTTCCAATTTCCTCCTTGACCTCGTAGAAAGAGCGCAGTTTCCTTCGATAGCTTTGCTTCGCTGAGTCCGGCTCGCTGTCTCCTGCAGTCGAGGGGCGGGAAGCCCTCGGTGTGGGTAAAGATGTCCCTTTTCCCCAAGAGTAGCATCCTTGTGCTGCCTCCTGTGAGAGGCCACAGACCACCCCCTCCCCCGTGCCCGCAAGGAGCAGACACTCGGGTTCTAGGAGGGATCCCCCGACTCACCCCCGTGGACTACCAGCTCCGCTTTACACAGCACCTGGCCGCCAGCGTTGCGGGCCAGGCATGTGTAGACACCAGCGTCGTGCTGGGTCACATCCCTCAGCACCAGGGAGTAGGTGGTCCCCTCCTGCTGCTGGCTGAGCCGGGCGCCATCCACCAGCTGGGCATCGTCCTGGGGGCACAGGCGGGTGGGGCGACCATCAGCCCAACCTGGAGACCCCTGCAAGGCAGGCTGTCCCGCCCTCCGGTGAGCCCCTTGCTGTCGGGTGGGAATGCCACACACTCCCCAAGCCCGGCCCCCCACACGGCGCCTGTCCATACCCGGTACCAGGTCACCATGGGCTGCGGGTTGCCCTCAATGACCGCCTGGAACTGGGCTGTGCTTCCCCTCTGTGCCTGCACATCTTCGATGGTGACCTGCATGGACGGGGGCCCTGGGGTGCAGGACGGAGCCTGTGAGGGGGGGACCCAGTCTGTGCCTCCTGCCCTGCCCACCACAGCCCCTCCAGCATGGACTCGTCGATGGGGCTTGCAGTCAGAGACCCCCTGGTGGCCCAGCATTGACCCTGGGCCTGTCTTGACACTCCAGGTGGGCAGCCAGGCCCTGAGACACTCCCTCGGGGCACCTGCCTCCCCAGATGAGGACAATCCCCTCCTGACTCTGCCCGGGCCCCTGATGGCCATTGAGTGTTTCCTTCCATCTAACCTGTGTGTCCTGCTTAGACCTTAGCTGTCCAGGGGCAGGGCATGCAGAGCGGGCTAACCCCTGCTGGGGAAAGGGGCACCCAACATCCAATTCAGTCCTGTCAGCACCCCCAGTGAGAGAGATCTCACCTCTGCCAGGGATGGCCCTCTTAGGGAATGCAAGGAAATGCGCAGTGAGGCCCCGGCCACAGCAAGGCCAGGCCAGGCCAGGCGGCTTTGCAGTTTCCCCTGCACAAGTGCCCCCCCACCCCTGCCCCGCAGCCCAGGGCATGGGGAGCACATGTGTAACCTACTTCTGGCAGCTGTGTCGCTGGCCTGGCACACGTATGTCCTATGGGTGGTCTCCATGAACACTTGGCTGTGGACGTCCCATAGCTCCACTGTGCCTGCCCCCGGCCGGGCTGTGCCCTCCATCCTGTGGTCATGGAACTGGATGAGCCGTCTGCTGTCTCCTACAATTCTGGAGTGCGGGCGGCCCAGCCTCACCACAAGATGGGGGTGCATGCCTCCCCCTCCCTGAACGGCAGCAGATGTTTTGGGAGGGGATGTGCAGAGAGGGGACCCAGCCCTGGGCAATGAGAGGGCTCCCCCAACACCCCTCATCCTGAGGGCCGCCTCTCCTCCGTGCTCTGCCCCTGGGATGTCCCTCTCATGAACTGCCCCCCCCGCCCAGCACGCCAGGGAGGTTACCGGATGGGCACGATGCGTCGCTGGCCCTCAGCATGGGCCCCTGAGTCCTGCTCCTGGCCCTCCTGGGGGAGAGGCTGTGGCACTTTCTGGGGCTCGACTGGTAGGAGACAAGGGGCCTAGTGAGACATTGGGATGGAGCTGGGACTGCCCCCCACAATGTGCCCCATGTCGTCCTCCAGGCCCAGAGAGTGGGAGCACAAGACAGAGCCGGGACTCCAGGGGTGCAGGGCCTTATGGGTAAGAACGGACAGGGAACACCCAGTCCTGAAACCCAGGGCTCCCGACCTCCCTACAGAGCCCAGAGCCCTGTCCTAGCTCCTAGCCTGGGCCACCAGCCCCGAGGCTCCCCTCGCCAGCCACTGTGCAGGGCCCCAGTAGGTGCAGCAGCCTCTGGGGGGAGGGGCCTCAAGGCATATCCCTGGGGGGCCTCATCTGTCCGGGGTGGTGGGGGGTCTACCCCTCCCTCTCTTCTCCCTCCTCCTTCTTCCCTCCCCTACTTCTCCATCCCTCTTCCCCCCACCTCCTCCTCACCTCCTCAGCTACCCAGGAGCACAGGTTCCCCAGGCTTTCTGCCCAGGACTGACCACCAAAGCCTCTGGCTCCCAGGACACACGTACTGGGGAAGAACCTCCCAGCACCCGCTCCCCTGCCTAATTTCACACATGGGGAGACTGAGGCTGAGTGCATGGAGCCATTGGGATGTCATGGTCCCCAGGGCTCTGCCCATTCGCCCACACAGAATGGCTACCTGGGGTGGCCAAGCTTGGGGCCAGCACAGGGGGCACTCTGAGAGCAGGTGGCACTAGGTGGTCAGCCTGAAGCTGCTGGGCCTTACCAGATGCATCTGCAACCTCCATGCCTGGGAGTTGGGGGCCAGCGTCCTGGAGTTCGGGTGGCCCCCCAGGGCCAGGGCTGGGGCCAGCATGGTCCCACATGGAGGGTCCTGGAGCCTTGGTGCACACCGTGACCTCCTGGCCTGCTGGCTCCAGGGCAACTGCGGGACGGACAGCAGCATCTGCGAGAGAGGCAGGTCAGTGTGTAGGGGTGAGAGGTGGCCTGGGCCCCAGAAGAAGGCTCCAGAAACTTAGTCCCAAGCCTCAGAGGCTGCCCCAGCCACCCACTCAAGGCAGTGAACTCAGGGCCTTCAGGAGCATGCGGGCTCCTCTGGGGACAGGTGGGTGTGGATACCTACCCTCTCTCCTGGTTTGTGCTCAGTCTCAGGTCATCCACCCCTTCACCGGGGACTGGCGTCCCCCCACCCCATGGCCCACTCCAGACCCCAGGGCACTGGGCCACCCAGGCCAGGGTGGACCCAGCCCCACACTCTAGGGAAGCCTGGGGACAGCCTGATGCTGTCAGGGACCAGGCGCTCCTTCCTGCCCACCCAGGCCACCGCATCCTCGCTGGCCCCTACCCCAGCTTCCCACACAGCCCCCGAGGGAACCCTCCAACTGTCCCACGTGTGGGCTCTCTGCCCCCAGCTCCCAGGACGTCCTCCTCTTCTACCTGGAGGTAACTTGGTATAGCCGCACCACAGCCGCACACATGCCCAGGGATGCCCACCACTCCATTCCCAGCAGGTGCCCCTGCCTGGAGCTCTCCCCTGCCCCAGACCCTCTCTCTTGCCGATCTTCTGTATCCTCGGGCCCTCCAGGACAGAGAGACAATTGGGCAGTCTGCTGTCTGTTTGCCCTCTATGACACTGGGGAACCCATCCTGTCCTTACCCAGTCCAAAGACATCAGCACACCCCTGACACAAACACCCTCTGTGTCAATCTCTCCAACAGCCCCCACTGCACAGCAGGCTGGGAACGACCACTATGGGCCGTCCTGATCCCAGTATATGCACCTGTGACCAGCCACACAGCCCATGTGAGCAAGCTAAACCTGTGAGCTGTCACGCCTCCATCCAGGGACCCCAAGAATGGGCCAGAACCCACAGGCTGATGCCGGGTGCCGACCCAGGGCCCTCCACCACAAGACGCCGGAGCCACCAGACAGAGAAGCAAGAGAGCAGAACAGAGGCAGTGCAGAGAACCAGTTTATTATCATTGGGGGTCACTGATGGGCCGCTTCCCACGCACAGACCCTGGTTCACCCTGCAGAGAGGCCCAGGAGTTCCTGTAGGGCTAGGCCCTGCACAGGCCTCCCGGAGGCCAAGAGAAACGTTCATAGTGAAGATGTGGCTGGGGAGCTCCCCAGTGAGAGGAAGACTGGGACCCAGCCTGGAGCAGGCAGGGCCCACCTGGCAGCCTGGCCTCATGAATGTGGCAGGACAGATGCAGAGTCCCTGACCTGCGTCTAGAGCCCCAAGCCCAGAGCTGCAGTCTGTGAGTCCCTCCGGCCTTCTGTACTTTCTGAGACGCCAGGTCTGGGCATGGTGCCTTCAGCTGGACCAGGCCCCATGAGGTAGCAAGAGCCTGGGGAGAGAGGGGCGAGCAGGCTCCAGCCCTGAGTTCTTGGAGAGTTAGGGAGAGGATCAGAGCGCATGTGTGTCCATGGAGCGCTGGTTTCCTCCATGAAGCCACAGGGCCTGGCAGCCAGGCACCTGCTGCTCACGGCCTCAGCCCTGGGAGGGGCCAGGGGCCTTGTCCCCATCCGGGCAGATGTGCAGGGTGACGGTCTCGCCCACCATCCCAAAGCTGACCGTCTGGGTGTTAACTTCCGTTTTGAAGCTGCTCTGGCCGCTGTCTGCAGACCTCTGGACCTGGATGCAGAAGGATGGCTTCCAGGACGCAGCGCCCCCAGCCCGGGCTTCCTGCATACAGAAGGAGACTCCTGCGGGGCCGAGGACCTGAGGTCCCAAAGGAGACGCCTCCCGGCGACTGAAAAAGCTAGGTGGGTTTCGAGGGCCCAGGGGACGCCCCACATTGAGCAGGACAGGCTGCCCCACCGTGGGCTCACTGATCTCTCTCTGGAGCACAGAGACCTCGCAGGGTGGGTCATCAGAAGTGCTGGGCACAGGGCCATGGCAGCCGAAGGTCTCCCCCTCCCGGGGCACGTAATCCTCCAGGTCAGCCAGCGTCAGCACTCGGCCATCATGTGTGAGGATCTTGGGGTCACGGCCCCAAAGGCTGTTGGTGCCCAGGGGCTCCTCCGTCAGGAGGGCACCTCCTCCCTCCACCTCCTCCACGGGGGTTTCCTCTTCAGCCGCCTGGGGAGGGAACGGCTCACAGGTCTCCTCTGGCCCTGTGTCCGTGCAGAAGATGAGAGGCTCTCCAGTGCTGACCAGTGCCCTGCCCTGCGCCTGCGGCTCCTGGGCCAGTAGGTTGTTGTTGGAGTTGTTTGCATTGGGATCTCCTATGGGGGTCCCACCAGGCAGCATGAAGAGAAGCCCTGCAGAGCTGTCAGGAGCCTCTCTGGCAGGGGATGCACCCCTGGAGCCTGTCTTCTTCACCCTGACTTCAATGGTCTCCTCGACCTCTACCCACTTGGGCTGGGGCCTCGTGCCCTGGGGCAGGCCCAGCGTGTGGGACTCAGGCTCCGTCACATACAGTGTGGGTACAGTAGGTCTCCAGCCTGGCTCCACCTCAGGCCTGCAGGGCTGGCTGGCCCCTGGTGAGTACAGCAGCTCGGAGGCCAACTGGCCTGGCCTGGGCGGGCTGGCAGTGCGGCGGGAAGGCGAGCGGGAGGGGGACTTGTTGGGGGACCGGCGCCGGCCACGAGGGCTCTTCACCACGGTGGTGATGGTCTCCTCTCTGCAGGGAGAGGGCCAAGAGGAAATGCGCACAGAGACCTGTACCCTTGCCCGTTGCCCACGCCATCAGCACATGCAGGGGCCACGTGAGTGATCAGGTTAGTGTAGTGAGCAATTGGTGACACTGCAAAACAAATTCCTACATGTGTGCTTGAGCCCGCCCTCTGGAACCTCTAGCTAGAGAACCAATGGAACAAAGCACAAAGCCTCATCTGACCAACTCAGGCTCCAGTGTGCAGATCTCAAAATAAGAGTTGAGGCAACAAGGGAGACCCACGCCTCGTCACAGTACACCTCCAAACCCCAGACCAAGTCTGGTCCACAATGTCTCCACCTGTGTCTCTCCTCCATTCATGGCCACCTTCTTTTGGAGATGCCAATGCTCCTCGCAGAACTAATGGACAGGGATGCAGGGACACAGCCATGTGGCCTTCCTTGTCTATCCCATGAGTGCTTTGTGCTTTGTATCATGGGGGATGACCCCAGTGAGCTCTCAGAGGGCAGGAGCCTCAGTGGTCCTCAGCTGGAGATAGGTTGGCAGCTGATCCTAGGTCCAGGGGGGTTGTCAGAGCCCTGATCTTGCTGCTTGTGCTCCTGATCTGTTCGTCTGGGGGTGTGAAACCCAGCAAGAACACCCGGCTCTGAGCGTGGCTTGGCTGTCACGGGCTGTGTGACATCAGACAAGCACTTCCTCTTCCTGGGCCCCTTCTGCCTAAATGGGAGTGGGCAGGAAGGAGAAGAGGAGGCAGAACACAAGGCCAGTTGCATATGGGTGGACATCAGGTACTGGCCAGGGACTTTGCAGCAGCCTTGGGGGATGAGTCTGACCTCCTTTTGCAAGTGTGGACCACGAGGCTGAGAAGGCTGCACACATGCCCAGGGCCATGATTCAGAAGTCCACCAGTCAGCCCCAGGACCCCTCTGCCACCCTGTGCCCCTGACCTTAGCGGGTGCTGTGGGTACAATGAGTATCAGGCAGTATCAGGGAGCAGGGATGTGCTGAATAACACACAGACCCTGGGGAACTCACAACTCTCCTGGGCCCTGGGACCTGCATTTTCTCTTGGACTGAGGCACGCATGTGGTGACAGCTCAATGCTGTCATCACCTGCCTGCTATGACTAAGGCAGGCTCGTGCTCTCTCTCACTCTCTCTCATTCAGCTTTTATCCAACTCAGGGCTCCACCCAGGAGCATATACTCCCAGGGATGGGCCCAGAAATGTGTGCTACCCCTTAGGGTACACAGCAATTATAGGCTCTGCCTCCTCGGCCCTCAGCAGGTAAGAAGGAAATGCTACACCCCACTCAACTGATGGGGGAACTGAGGCTTAGAGGCATGGCCTAATAAAAAATCACAGGACTGCCTTCCTGCCTCATGCCCAGGCTCGGGAACACTAGGCTTGGCCCTGGGTCGGAGCTTGCTCACATATCATGGGAGCTTGGGCCAGGTCCATCGGCTGGCCTCATGCCTCTTCAGTTCGCCAAGGCAGGACAATCAGTCATGTGGGTACTGGGGTCATGCCTCCTAAATGCCTCCCTGTGTTGAGCTCATTACTGCCCCCATGAAGGCATGTGGGCATCCTGCACTGAGGCTCCCAGGACAGCAGGTGGGACTGCCAAGTGGCAGGGGTCTCTCTCCAAGCCCTTTTTCCTCCCCATGTACCCTGAGTCCCTACTCTGTGGTGTGCCCTTGGGAGAGATGCCTGGCACAATTCCTCCAGCTGAGTTCCTCCAGCAACACAGGGTGTGTGTTGCCACCTCCCTAAGCCTGGAATAGATGGGACTTCAGGGTGCCTCTTGAGTCCCCTAGTCTGGCTGCCCCAGGTGCGAGTCCTCTCTGAAGTCTTACTGATGAGGCAGCCTGGCCCTGTCTCTGTTTCTCCATTTTGTCATCTGTAAGATGTAAATGATAGAAATGCTCCCTTCGTAGACGAAACGTAGAGTTATTCTGTGTATAGCTCTGGCACATTTGCATGCCTCCAGGAATGCTCACTACTGCCCCATGTACTGTGGGCAGCAATGTGCCTTGGGGGAGGAGGGAGGAAGTTGAGGAAGGGTTAATCCAGGATCTGACCAAATGTCTGGTGATACGGTTCTCCAAAACTTGGCCAACTGCAGGCCCCTTTAGGAGGTCATAGGCCCATGAGGAACCAACAGGAGCTTCCCAGTCATCTGGTCTTAGACCAGTCTTTCTTGCCTCCTGGCTTCCACAAACTTTTACACAATCTCCACCTGCAGACACCTCCTACTGGATCATCCAGGTGAAAATCAACTCTGCCTTCTGTGGGCTTAAGCACTCAGCTCCAGACCTCTTGTGTTACTTAATCAGCAACAACCCCAGCCTTGAAGGCACCTAATAAAAAGGGGACAATGGGCGTGGCACCGGGGAAATGGGTTACCTGCCGGCTTTCAATCATGAACCATCCTGAGCAAACCTCTTCCCTGAACCTGAGTTTCCGCATCTCCCTAATGCTAGGGTTGGGACTGGAGATCTTTAAGGGCCCTAGAGCTGTGCTGCCCACCAGGGTTACACTATTTTAATTAAATGCAAGTTAATGAGAATAAGTAAAATCTAGAATTCAGTTCTTCAGTTGCACTTGACACATTTTAAATACTCAGTAGCCACTTGTGGCTAGTGGCTGTTCTTGTAGTGGGCATCATAAAAATAGAGTATTTCCAACATGACAGAAAGCTCTGTCGGACAAAACTGCCCTAGATCCTAAGGTTTGAGGGGTAGAATATTCCCTCTAGCCCACTGTGGGAAGCAGCTCTTGGTCCCAGCTCCAAATTAACTGACGTGATTCTGGGCCTAAGCCCTGAGTGAGCTGCTGTGAAGTATGCAGAGTAAGTCTACCCTGTGGAGGCACTGGAGCCATAGAGACCCTGGAAGAGAGAGCTGTGAAGTGTGAAAGTAGCCAAGGCCCCAGGGGAAGGTGGGTCCCCTCGGTGGCATCTGCAAAGTGCTGGCAGTCTGCATGGTGAGCAAAGGCCATGTGAGCAGGCAGTTAAACAAGCGGGTGGACAGGCCACACGGACAAGGTCCACGTGGGTTAGTGGGCATGCAGGGGGCACTGCAGTCAGGAGGAAGGTTAGGAACACGCCTGCACTTACATGATGACGGTTTTCTTGGGGACTTTAGTCTCCTGCTCAGTGACTACAAAGAAAACAGTCGGAATGGCGAGGGTTACAGATCAGCCAGCGCTCAGGTGCTGAGCCATTTGAGTGGCCATGGCAGTACAGTAACCTGCTCGGCTTCGGAGCACTGTTTCCAAGCCCTGCCTGATCTGCCTGTCTCACGTTGGAACCTCAGTTCTGTCATCTTTAACACGGAGATGACAGTACCTGCTCTGAGTGGCTGGGGGATGAGCAACTGTGACATCAGTGTGTCCCATATGAGGAAATGAGGGTCTTGCAGGGACTGCAGCAAGAGTAGGGGCCCCGTCTAGGCTGCCCATGCAGAAATCCCAGCTCCTTCTTCAGCCCATGTGCCCAGGGAGCCCTGTGAATTTGTCAAACCTGAGGTCCCACTTCTCAGACAGAAATTGAAGGCTAGAAGTGGGGGGAAGGAAAGGCCCATGTGAGCCAAACTGGGACTGGGATGGCTGGTGCCTATTTTATAAAAAAAATCCTAAAGACTAAAGGCATCTCTCCAGGGGAAAGGGATACTGGAGTTCCTAGAGATGGCACATCTGAGCTCTGTACCATGAGGCCATGGAAATCCCATCAGGAGCAACCAGAGACACCTGGACAGGGTCCTGAGCTCCAAATGAGCAAGGAAACCTAGGTCTTTCCATAGAAGCTCCCCATAAACTCAACTGCCTTGATTGCCCTAGCTTTCTATCTCTTTGGAGTCAGCAGATGGAGGGCCTGAGTCCCAGAGACAGGACAGGACTTGTCTGGGACCAGGCAGCACCTGTTCTCACCCATCCTGAGGTCTCTTCCTCTGCAGCTTCTGGGCATGGCCAGGCTTACCATAGAGATGTCCCTCCCAGCCACACCTTGCTGCACAACAGGCAGTCCAGCACATACCAGTACCCTCAGATCTCAACAGTCTCTCTTGCCATCCTAGGGACAAAGCTGAGTGGGATGCTCAGAAAAGTCAGGTGGCAAGGCCTGCAGCACACAGCACTCTGGCTTCCAGTGTACGGGATTTTAGGCTTTGCTGCCATATAGAGAAAGGATTTCCCTTAGATAACCAAGAGTATTTTAAACTTGTCTCTGATTGGGTGCATGTGAACTAAAGGTACCAGCTGTGTCTGTATGGCCCTTGAGAGCCTCATTTACTTGTGTATGTGTGTGCACACACATATGTATGTATGTGCATGTATGTGTTTGTGTCAGCTGCCTCCCGGAGGGTAGCCCCCTGGGAGAGAGGATGGGATCCAGCCAAAAGGCCTTGTGTGTTTGGATTAAGTTGGGTCCAGAGAGAGCCAGCCTGTTTGCCACCTGCAGTCCACACCCTGCGTGGAGAATAGTAGGAAAGCCTAGAGCTCCTTCCCTCACCCTCCCCTGATTGGAGTCCTGTCCTGCTGCTCTGAGGAGTGGTGGTCCGGGAATGTCTTGGCTGCTACATTCCTGGTGCCTTTGTTCCTGACCTGACCTGCCACCTGATGGGCTCTAAGCCCCGGTGAATACTGGCAGCCATCGGAGCAGTGCAGCCGTGCAAAGCAGGGCTCCTGGCCCAGTGCAGTTCCAAAAGCGAGGGGGCAGCACCACCCCACAAGGCTGGCTGGGGCTGTTCTGGCTGTGGAGCCACCAGGTTAAAGATGAAGCAGCAGGAGAGGGTTAGGAAGCAGGAGGCGGCAGGCTCCAACTCCTGGGTCTGTGAGGACTGGCTTTCTTGGATGTGAGGTGCCATGTTTCTGGTATCAGAGGGCTGCCCCTCTTCCAGACTTCACAGCCATGAGACGTTGACAGAAAGTGACCCACCATGACAATGAAGTGAATGCCTCTGCAGGACACGCTTGTCGCCAGCCCAAGAAGGAGTGCTGAAGTCCTTGCTCAGCACCTCCCCAACATAAGACGCCATATGGCAGGAAGTGCAGGTGCCTGCAGACACCACAGGGCCCTCTGGGGGTGGGGGCAGGAACATGGACCATCACTCTCTGATGGCTGTGGAAGGCATCAAGGCTGTGAGGTCGAGCTCCAGATGCCAGGTAGGCTGACTCTGGGAGGGTCCATACAGATAGAGGCCCCTGGATGTTGGGCCTCATGATGGACTAGATCCATTAGCCCAAGGCGTCACAGAAGCCAACACTCAGGACTTGGGAGGATATGTATTCCAGTCTGACCTACTGTGAGAGCTACAGCTCCACCAGGTATTGATCCAGCCTCTGCCTGCATGCCTCTAGGGACAGGAGAGGCTCATCAACTGACAAGGTAGCCCCTTCTAGGTGGGGCAACCCAGACTGGAAGAAGCTGTCCCTGGAGCTGCAGCCTGCCCTGCAGGCACCATAAGGCTGCTCTCTGACTGAGCAGGCCCAGGACAGATGCTAGCTTCTTCTCTTCCCATCCTGGCCATTCTTAGGCTGCGCACAGCTGGAACCCTAGACTCAGGTATGAGTGGAGGCATGAGGTATCCTGCTGCCCACCCTTCACCTCCCACCCAGGTGCACATCTCCCCTTCGTGAGACCCATCCCAGGACCCCAGACACCACCCCAGGCCAGGCTAGGGAGGTAGTGCCACGGCATTCTGATTTTTCCATGAACAGCCCAACCCAGTGTGGAAGTACCAGTCCCCTGACATCACTCCCTCTCCTGGGAGCCAAGTTGGGACCCAGCAGCTGGTGCTCTGCACTCAGCACGCCTCCCACAGAGCCGTCCTCCACAACGTTCCTGCTGCCTATTATGATGTCTTGCTGGCCACTACCCAGCAGCCTGCTGGGCCCAGGCCTGGCCTCTCTACATACTCATTACTGCCCCAGGGATGGTAAGCAGGATGCAGGACCGCCAGGGCTGCCCTCCAGCCTTGCCAAAGCTCTGGGCTCAAGGCTCACCTCACGCTGCTCCGGTAGGGGGCTGGGAACCAGCCCTTGAGCCATGGCCTCTGCATCTCCATCTCTCCCAGCCAGACCCCTTCCTCAGCCCTCACTGCCCCTCCTCCAGGAAGCACACCCTAACTGGAGAGGCTGCTGGTTTCCCCCCAACCTGGCCCCACAGTAGCACTTACCTTCCATGGCTGCAAGCTGCTCCCTGTGAAGCTGTTCCCGGGCCCGTACAGCAGGGCTCTGCATGCACAGCTCTGTCCCGCCCCTCGCAGAGCCCAGCCGGTTCACCAACTGCAGGACGGATGGCAGAGCCCGCTTAGGGCCAGTGGCTCCCTTGGGACCGTTGAGGCCATCTCTAACATGGAGGGCCCTCCCTGGCTGTGTCCCAGAGCCACAGAGCCTGCCACAGAAGAAAGGTCCCCACACAGACCCAGCATGACCCAGGGGTTTCCTAGGTGGTGGGGACACTATCTGCACAGTTCAGTGTGGTGGCCATGTGAGCCCTGAGCAGCGAAAACAGAACCAAATCCTTACCTATTTAACCTATAGTTAAATAACTGATTTCAACTCAAATTGCATGTGTGGCTAGTAGTAACAGAATCAGAGAGTGTGGGTCCAGAGCTAACTCTGGTGTGTGTGCCTCCCCAGGAGCTGCCGGGGGAGGCAGGCCCCACCTAGCCCAACCCAAGCTACCAGCAGCAACCACACAGAGGAGGCTGGCAGCCAGGAAGAGCCACAGCCTACACACACCTTCCACAGACCACCACTGGCCCTGCAGGTGGACAGGTGGCTTTGGTAGAGAGGATGCCACACAGACCTCCCACCCAGGTCTCTGTTCTTGCCATAGACACTGGGTGATGGGCTGGGGGTCCCAACCTCATTATAGGTCCCAACCTCACTATATACTGGATGATCGTGGGCCACAGGTCCCTCCTTCACTGGGGACACTGGGTGATGGTGGGTCTGGGGTCCCTCCTTCATCAGGGAGCCTGGGTGATGGTTGGTCTGGGGACCCTCCCTCATTGGGGACACTGGGTGATTGGTAGGTCTGGGGTCCCTCCTTCATCGGGGACACTGGGTGATGGTAGGTCTAGGGTCTGGGGTCCCTCCTTCATCAGGGAGCCTGGGTGATGGTTGGTCTGGGGACCCTCCCTCATTGGGGACACTGGGTGATTGGTAGGTCTGGGGTCCTTCCCTCATTGGGGGCACTGGGTTATGGTGGGCCTAGGGTCCCCTCCCTCATCAGGGAGCCTGGGTGATGGTACGTCTGGGGTCCCTCCTTCATCGGGGACACTGGGTGATGGTAGGTCTGGGGTCCCTCCTTCATCAGGGAGCCTGGGTGATGGTTGGCCTGGGGTTCCTCCCTCATTGGGGACACTGGGTGATGGTTTGCCTGGGGTTCCTCCCTCATCGGGGACACTGGGTGATGGTAGGTCTAGGGTCCCTCCTTCATCAGGGAGCCTGGGTGATGGTTGGTCTGGGGACCCTCCCTCATTGGGGACACTGGGTGATTGGTAGGTCTGGGGTCCCTCC